TTTCTTTCTTTCTTTCTTTCTTTCTTTCTTTCTTTCTTTCTTTCTTTTAAGAGGTGTAAAGTGTAGCCCTTGGCTGTAGGAAGGTGGCTTCATCCCAATTAGGGCGTCAATGTAAATAAACAACAATATCAGGGAGACTTCACAGCAGCAAAGCCAATCCAAGGGCCATCACTGCTCATTTGAGCGGGATTTCCTGTTTTCCAATAAGTCACTCGAACTCACTTCATCCTAGAGGATGCTTGTCACGGCTGCTACCCCTGAACTCTGCTAGAATTGGCTCAGCCGCGTGGTTTGTTGGCTTCAGTGAATCAGAGATTGAATACCGGTTAGACTTAGGCAGGATCGTGTGGCTGAAATATAGGGAAAAAAGGGGTTAAAAGTGGCTTTTTATATGGAATATTATGGGTAATGTCAAAAGAACTGTGCTCAGGAAAAGGCTGTGTAGGCAGAAGAGGGGAACATATTAGTAACGTGCTGTTTCATTAACAGAACCTGCTCACTTATTCATGGTTTGAATGTTCACTTATACAAATATATTTTTCCCTTTTGCTGCCCTAACAAGAATATCCATCTGTGCTAGGAAGTGATTCAGGCTTGGATTTATTGCTCTCTTCAGCAGGAAATGGAGCAAAGCTGTAGATAACGTGAATGCAATTATTGTTTTTAAAACATCTCTGCACTGTCCTGCTGTTAAATGAAACAATGGCAGTTTTAAAATGTATACGTCTATAAACGTTTTTGACCTGGGAGCAGCTGGGTGTGCTCTTAAATTAAACCATAAAGTATTTTTGAATGAATAATAACATGACACCCTGTCTGAAGTGTGTGTGTGTGTGTGTGTGTGTGTGTGTGTGTGTTGTTGTTGTTGTTTTAAAAATGGAAATTATCCTTAACAGTCTTTGTTCTTTTCTGGCACAATTATCTTGAACCTAGTTCTTCGGAGTTCAGAGGAAGGTTGAAAACCAGGTCCATTAACTGTTTGCCCTGATTATGTGTCCCTGTGTGTTTTGGGCTGTGTATGTTTGTGTAGGGAAGAGACTAGTTTGTGTTGCCATCAAATCCATCTGTGGCTACCTTGAGGTCGCATACACAAAATCCTTAACTTACAACCTCAGTGGAGCCCAACGTTTCTGTTTCTAAACTTGACAGTTGATAAGTGAGGCGTGTCCCATTTTACGTCCTTTTTTGCCACAGTTGTTAAGCGGATCGCTGTGGTTGTTAAGTGAACCGTGTGGTTGTTAATTGAATCTGGCTCCCCCCACCCGTTGGCTTTGCCTGTCGGAAGTCAGCTGGGAAGGTCACACGTGGTGATCGGATGACCCCGGGGTGAAGCAGCCAACATAAGTACATGCCAGTTGCCAAGCATCTGAATTTTGATCACGTGACCATGGGGATGCTGCAGCGATCGCAAGTATGAAAACTGGCCATAAGTCATTTTTCTCTGTACCATCGTCACTTCGAACAGTCACTAAAAGAATGGCTGTAGGTCGAGGATTACCTGTATTTTGAGCCAGATACCTTCAGCCTGTATGTCTTTTTCTTTCCTCTTGCCTATCTGTTTTCCCTCTGGACCCAGGTGTCTCCCACTCCACCATCCAGAAGACAAAAAAGTCCTTTATCCTTCTAGTCATTCTTGAAGTTAATATATGTATTTATTAAATTTGTATGGTGGTGGCCATCCTGCAACTTGAAACAGTTTATAAGATAAAAATGACAACATAAAACATATAGATAGATGATAGATAGATAGATAGATAGATAGATAGATAGATAGATAGATAGAT